ATCTCAAACCCTTAAGTACATTGTTGATGATCTAAACACTAAGTAAAGACTCAAAACTCCAAGTTTTATTTCCAATCTACTTATTTCTTCTTCATAGATTTTCTTGTCAGTCATTCCTGACACATTGATTCAATTCTCCTATTTAGGCTACATGAAGTACACTTAGGTTCATTATTTATCATTTCTCACTGTGACTGAATTAGATACAGTATAAAATAGTACAATAAGAAATAATGTAACAACTTCTTGGAAACCTCCTCATTCATCAAAAGGGGGGTAGTAATTACCCACTTGGTATGGCTGTCATCAGAAAAATTTTTTAACAAATATTTCAAGTAGCATAACTTGTAGTTCTTCCTGTGCATATTTTAGGATATCTAACATAGTGGTGTCATTACAACACTAATTGTATCAGCATATCCATATGTGAAATTCTGAGTGGTCTTTTTTTTATATACCACAGCTGAAATCGACTATCTAACAATATCCTAGTGTGTAGAACATGCTCCGTGAATATTGCTTATTCTTATTATCCATAACATCATCACCTATATTAAAACATATGAATCTGAAAATACTTCTTCTAGGACAAACATTGGCTAGAGATCTGAATTATTACATAGGAAATTTGAGTCTTAGTATCTCTGCCTTTTTCCATTCTCCTGTAAACCTGTCTCCCAGACACAGATATTGTCTTGAAGTGGGGACGTATAATTTTCTCTTGGTGTTTTCATGTCAGAATCATCTACCATGCAGTTTTCCTTTGTAATGTTGCCTTAAAAGTACTTAAAATACTTAATTTAAGTATTCTGCAAAACAATACCTATTGCCCATGAAATATGCAAGTTTACATTAACCTGAGAAGGTACTCTGTGGAGTACATTCACCTTCTGAAAAGTCTTTATCTGATGCAAAGTGTTAACTGTTGAAAGTACACAATCTTTTAATTGGATAGTTTATTAATTTGATAATCATTTCAAAATCCTCTGCCAATCTCCATGTCACTCAAATAAGAATATCCAGCTCCAATAAATATGTTGGTTGTGGCTAGGTGATTGATTTCCAATAGAAAAATGCATGTTCAAACTTGCTATTAATAACCTACATTTATGCCCTTCAAGGACAGTTAGTGTTACCCATATCTTCTCAATCCTAATATGTATCAGGAAAATGAAGCGTCACTCCAAGTAGTAATGATCTCTCCTTGATGAATCCTTAAGAAAATGTGTCAAATTCAGGAAATACTCTTTCCCTTGGATCCAGCAGAAGAGATCATGCTGGAGTCAGGAAGGTAGCATTTCAGACCCACATCCCACCTGCCAGTGTGTGCACAGTATGCGAATCTCTCCTCCTCTCCCTGCTCACTGCTTAAGGGAAACACAGAAAATAACACCATCTCCAAAGGAATATTGGAAACTCACCAAATATTTGGTCATTGTGATTTAATAAAAAAAAAATCCATGATTTGGTAACTATCCATATTATGGAGGAAAGCCATGGTCAAGGGCACTGGAGGCTGGAATGAAGTGACATTCTGACCTGTGCCTCATGGAAGGCTGCAGTGTAAAGTGCCCTTCAGCTTCTGCCTCCTTGCCTTTCTTCAAACCCATGAAAATCTCTGCCATGATTTCTGAAACTTTTTCTGCTGTGGATGATATAAAATGAAAATAAAGAGTCCCTA